CTTTTGGAGCACCTGAGGATGGGTGAGCCTGCAAACACCATGGTGGCATTGCTGAGAGGTAAACCCCAGTGCAGTTGAATGACCCAGTCCCTAAGTAACAGAGTTAGATTCTCTGATGTGGAAGCATTGAGAGCCACTTTGGTGCCCAGGACTGGGAGTCTCTAAACACGTCTGTTTCACTGACTTAGTGAATATTTGGGGTAGTTCAGGACCTCTGCAAATGGTGTTGGGTGTTTTGGTCACTGTGAGCAGCACATGAGGATGGACTGGACAGCTCCAGGCTGCACAGGAGGGGACAAGAGATGATGAGACCTTCAGTGTGTGGTTGTATTCAGATCATCCTGAGCAGCTGATCCAAAGCATTGCAACAAGTGAAGATGTGGGGTTTATGCTGCCAGCAGATTTCCTGTTTTGCTCCACGTGGTTTCCTTGCTGGAGAAGAAGAGCAAAGGTGACAGTGTTAGAAGGAAGCGAGGACATTGCTGACAGATCGGGCTTATTCTGGGCTGCGGAGAGCTGTCCAGGAAACATCTTTTGGCTCAAGAGTTTGGTGACTATTTAAGATCAAAGAAAGATGGTTTCTTCATGAGGACACTGAGGTGTGGAATTTGCTTGTTTTAACATCATGCTGCCTGTGACAGCCATAGTTTAATAGGCGATGCCTAAGATCATGTCATCTTCTCCTTAAATAACAGGATTGCTTTCTGACTGTTCATGTTTTCCTGGGGCAGAAACTGGGATCAGCCTTAAGGATATTTTCAATTTTGTTGGAAACAAGTCTTTGCTGTATAAAACCCCTCACTGCTATCTGTAGTAAGAAAAACATGTATATGCTATTGTAGTAGGGAGAGAGGCGTGGGATGTTTGCTTTCCCTTGGTGCTTCCACTGCATCTCAACTGTGCTGTGTCCTCAGATGCTGAAGCTCTGTAGTGAGCACAGAGCAGATGTGGTTGACGGTCTGCTGGCACTCGAGGGCATGTGTGTTGCTTCTGTAAACTCAATGATCCTTTAAACCCACCTCGGTCTGAATAGAAAACAACTTCCCAGAGGTATAATTCTTCCCATAAGTTTTACAGGAACACCCAAACTGAAAGCAGAGATCCCTTGCCCGGGGGACTCTGCAAGATGAACTCAGCTTCCCCAGGAAAACCAGGAAAAGAATTAGAGAGTTTTATATATCTGACCCTGGATCTGCCACTTGCTACAGCAGACAGGGAAGTTGCCCCCTTGGTGTTTCACATGGCACATCCTAATTCCCCCTCTACACAGAGGACTTGAGTCATTGCTTTTTAATAAGACTGCCGCCCCACGGCGGAAGCTGCTGCCATCAATGCAGCTTACTCAGTTCTCAGAAAGGTCCTTAAAAGACCATAGATATAAATTTAAAAGAGTGTTTGTTCACATCCTTAATGTTAAAGATGTTCTTCTCTCTCACTTCCTTAAGAAGCATCGTGTGAAGCCACAGTGCATCCGACCTGCCTGACAGCAGAGGGGAAAGAACAGGTTATTGCTGTTAGTGTGCCCTCAGCTCCAAGAAAAGGCAGGAAAGAAAATAAATGGTCCAAAATCCCACTTTTATCATCACTTAGAGCACAGCCGGACTTGCTGACATCTCCAGATACAGTCTGTAATATCTACCTCGGTGCCCTATAACTGTATAGGAAAGAATAAATTCTTTTGTGTTTTTTTTCCACCCCTTCATTCCTGCATTCCTTCCTCCCTCCCTCACTATGGTACTGGATTACTGCCCGAAGTATTGCATGTATCATCCCTTTAGCAGCTATATTTTTCCGAAATGTGGGTACTGTGAAGGAATGCTAAAGCTCTCTGTGTCTGCCGATATGTTTAACAGTTCAGGAGGACAGAAGTATCTCAGGTTCCAGTTGTTGGGATGTGAAATGCCACATCCAGCTCAGTCAGCTTTTTGCCACTAGTTGCATCAGGCCAGGGTGAGCTGGTAACGTGGTGGCTTGAGTTTTTAGTGGCTTTCTGGTGCTCCAGTCCAGGCCCATCTCCAGCTATGTGAAGGGCACATGTCCCATCTCCTCCGGGCATGGATGGTGCTGTCCTGGGTGTGACAGCCTGGGGCTGCTCTGCCATCCCCAGCATGGGGAACATTGTGAAGCTCCAGGTAGCTCTGACTGGGCTGTCTGAAAGGGGACCGGGATGAGGATGGGGAGGACTGGCCCTGTGGACTGGAGATCTGGCTCACAGTCCTGCCATTGCTTTACAGGGACTGTATGTCTCCAGGCATTTGTCTTCCCTTTCTCTGTATTTTACCCAAGACAAGGATATTCCATTCATAGCTCATGGGGTATTGTGAGCATAAATAACTTAACAGCTATTTCATACACAGGCTGTGTAGAAGTAAGGGAAGCCAAGCTGTACAAATACCTAAATGTATGTGTAAGGAGTCAGATATTGTGTTCACCTTCTTTTTTGGAGAAGAAATTGCCTTTTCCTTGTGTGTCTAAACTGTCAGTATCTTTTGCCTGTCATGACATACCCATTTCCATTTCTGAGCAGCAGGCTGCAGTTGGAAATCTCGCCTCCCCAGCATATGGCAGGTGACAGGATTAGCCCAAAGCCCAGAGCTGCACAGCCAGCAGTCACCCCTCGGTGTCCACAGGGTCCTCTCCCCATATGAAGTTTTTCCTTCACAACCCATACAATTAAACGGACCAGAGTTCTCCCCACCTAATAACTTTCATTTCCAGTTTTCTGTCTTATTCACCCACATACACATTCATCTCCAGTCACCTAATAATTCATAAACACCATATGCTCTCCCGTGCTTTATTTAGTACTATGTCTTCTTCCATTATGTTCTGCCAACTTCCCGCCCTGTACATAAACAAATGTGAACTTTTCCTGTTTTCCATTTGCTTACATGTACACACAGGCATACACAAACACTCCCACAGACTGCAGCACACTCGCAGAGGCACACTCTGCTGCGAGCTCAGTTCCTGCCCATCACCTGTGGGTATCGCTGGAAATCACGCCAAAAATCAGGATCCGAACACAACTGTTTTGCCCTCACACGTGTCATCACAGCACATCGGAAAGCAGCAGGGATTGATTGATTTTGTAGCTGCCCGAGCTGTTCCTTTGTTAACAGCCTTTTCTAAGAATTGAACCTTTTTGTGGTTAGCAGATTCCCCAGTGACAAAATCCGTGTTTCTGCAAGGAGATTTGTTCATCTTAAATATTCCAACCCTAACCGTTCTATGATTTTATGAATGGTTTTGAGAAAGAACTTGAGAAATAACTCTTGAATAATCAAAGCTTGCCTGTGCTTTGATTTTGTGAGGTTACAGCAGAAATTTGCAATCTTCAGAAGTGGATGTGAAAGGGAGTGAAATCTCAGTATTGTACATCAGTGGGTGTTCAGCCGCTTAAGTTACTTCCTATAATGTTATATTTATTTTTTGTCTAAACCAGTTGTTTTAAACAGGTCCCAAGGGCAGAAGTTTGACATTTTTCACTTCGAATAGACACTCTTAACCAATATCTGGGTAGAAGTCTCCCCAGTCTGTGGGTGAATTAAGATGCTGTTTGTGCTATGTGAACTCTCCAATTTAGCTAATAGGAGCCACAGACTAATGCTGACATGAATCAGGTGGAGCAGCAATGAGAAAGCCAGTTCTGGTTTTATTCCACTGCGTTTCTCTCCCCACTTCACTACCATGTGTGGTAACACAGAATCAAATCCCAGTGCTGTTCATGTGCAGTTCATTCAATGACAGTTACTTTGCAGGCGTAGTATCCATGAGGAATGGCTCTGTTGTGAAATATCACGTGCGATATGGGACTTTAAGTCATGCTTGTTAATTTAATGAATGTTGTAAGGAGATCCTTATTTCCCAGACTTGAAGGTTTCAGTAACTACAGTCCATTGATACCTACTTCAGTGGCTTTGTGGCTGGGTGTAGTAGATACATCTCTTCGTAGCACACACTTCATTAATATGTGCTTTTTGACCAAGTTCCTGCGACAAAAAGACTTGTATATTGCTGTCAGTAATTGGGGCAATATGAGCGTGGTAAGTGGAGGACTGGCGTGGGTTGGGAAAGAGCTGGGTTGTGTTATGGGCTCTGCAATTAGCCTGATTGATGACTCTGAGCAAATCATTTTGCCTTCACCACTCCATAGCTTTACAAATCGGCACAATGGGGATGATGGTAATGAGTTTCTTTGTGGAACGTTTTGAGTTCTGATAATGTAAAAGGCATTGTAAAAGGGCTAAACATTTATATTAGGCTTATATTATTTCTGTATTGCACATATAAAAATGATTCCTCATTTACAGATGCACAGGATTTAAGTAATTATGGCTTTGCATAAATATGTAACAGTTTGCTAATTCTTTCTGTGAATATTTCAATGTTAATCCCAGGATCCAGTGCTGTGGTGTGCATCCTATTTTTCGCACTCTCCTAGAGGGGAAGAAAGTTGTTTAACTCTATTGTTTCAATACCTGCATGCAAAGTGGATATCTTACTTATCACTGAAACATCCCCAGTCCAATTCTGACTTCAATCAATAGGCAACTTCCCACTGGCTCCAGCTGCAGCTGGATTGAGCTCAGGGCTGTTCAGGAAGTAATCAGTGTTCATGGGGTATTTTAAGTTCCTTAACTAAACTATGCAGACTTGCAGGTAAGGCTGTCCCTGACGTGGAGAGGTGGGAGCAGAAATATCCAAGGCTAAACACATTGAAACTCAGGGCTGGTTTCTCAAATGCTGTTACTGTTTCCCACTGTGTGTGGTGAGGATTGATGCACTGCCATGTTATCAGTGCAGCACCATCTCTATAGTGGGTACAGATGTAAGCAGCAACACCCAACCCAAAATTAACCCTAGGAACATTCTGAGGACCTGACTGAAACTAAAACTTGCTTCTTTTGGCAGCCACCCCCCATTTCAGTACCTCCCTCCCTGCCCTTTTCTACCGCCTTTGTTGTCCCGATCACTTAGTGTTTCCTTCTGTCCTGCAGGGAGCTGAGCGATAGCACCACGTACACGTACCAGGTCATCATTGTTTCCGGGAGGGAGGAGAGCGAGCCTTCCCCGGAGCTTGTCTATATCTCTGGAAGTGGATACTGTGGAGACGGGATTATCCAAATGTAAGTCTGGACCGAGCAAACAGATAAATCCGGGCACATCTACTGAGCCAGAATCTGAGACTAGAAAGGAATTGACAACCTCTGATGTCTCCTCAGTTGAGGCCAGCTCTCATCTGTACATAATGACTCATGTGCCTGGTGATTACCAGGATGATGACACTTAATTGGAACTTAGGCCCTGCTATCCTGGCACCAGGAGATACAGACAGAGATACAGATAATGGAGTCCAGACAGCAGGATCGATATGGACATAACACTATATGCTGTTTATGCTGTTTGTTCGTGTATCTCTATCTTTATACATGCATATGACATTTCCTATGCAGAGCTGAAGTAAGCACTGGAAAAATTCACATGGCCTTTGATGCTGTCCTCACCCGTGGAGTCCCACGTGTCTGGCAGCTGGTGGACAGGGTAAAACCCTGCCCTGTGTTGGTCCAGGTTCCTGGTGCAACCTCTTGTTTGAGCACCGGAGCTAGGATGCATTTGGAGGTGATAGATTTGGCCTCTGAGGGAGAGTGCTGAGAATTTCATGTTGTCAACCAGCTCCTCCCTCTCACCGCTGCCAGTCCCCAGACCACTGAAAACGTAAAAGAAAATCATTCACAGCTATGTTAGGGTTTTTTCTTTTGCTGTGTTGGCCCTGAAGGCACCTGCTTCAAAGCTTCCTGGCATTAGGTAATTCAATTGTTTAAACTATGGAAGTAACAACAAGCAAGTGCTCAATCCAGCCATTGCTTTAAATAATGCCGATCAGCAATCACGTAGTACCACTCTGTCAGATGATATACCTAGCAGCAAGTATTTGCAGGATGAGGCCCAACAGGTAGGGAAATCAAAGGGAATAACCAAACGACATATGAATCCAGGGCAGTCTTGGAGAGAGAGGTGGAGAAAGACAGATTAATTTTGCTTTCCATAACTTTTCTCCTACTGTTATGTTTGCACATTCCTCAAGCATCACTTGTGGCTTTGCAGCAAGTGTCGAACAATAGCTGAGCTGCCTCAGGAGCGAGCAGGAACCAGACTGTGTCACAGCTTGGTTGGTTGTGGCCCCACTTACAGCTGTGGCAGCCCCTTTCTCATCTGGTTCACACTCATCTCCCTGCATGCTGCTGCAACCATGCGGGCTGGCGTGAAGCAGGATCCCATTCCCAACACCACCTCCTCTCCACCTGGAATAGCCTGGCACCAGGCTTTATGCCTTGTTATTCCCATGCTGGGGTCACAGTCTGGCCCTTCCAGATTTAATACAAAGAGTTTCAGAGATTCCTGCTCTCTTTTTTTCCCCACCTGCTGAGTTGCAGCCACACCAGCTATGAAGGAAGTTGCTCATATCCTCATCAGAGAGCAGCAAGTGGTATCCACATGTGTAGGAGAGAAGTGGCCAGGCAAGCCTGTGAACCAGGAATGATGGAAGTCAGGGCTGGAGGAGGAAGGGAGAGGCATTTCAAGGGTCAGCACACAAAGTGCTGTACTAGATTGGAGGGCTTTGGGGTTCTGCAGAGGGGTTGCAGTGATTGTTGGGATGATGCCATTTGCCACCTGACTCATTTTTGTATGTGTATGCCCTGCCTGCAGAGACTTGGGGGAAGAATGTGATGACATGAACAAGATCAACGGTGATGGCTGCTCCCTGTTCTGCCTGCAGGAGTTGTCCTTTAATTGCATCGGTAAGTCTGCTCACGGTGGGCACCAACTCTACGTAGAGTGCAAGGGGAAAAATATCAACAGCATTTTCAGCATTTCCAGCTGAAGAGTTGTCATGGAAGAGAGAAAAAAAGGTGGAATTTGTAGGTTTGAAAGGCGAACATATCTTCCCAGCTTCTGGTCATTTTGATGGGAAATTGGTTCTGCTGGCTTTGAAACAGCCTAGGACTTAGGGCTAAGTCAGCCATTGTGGGACTGATCCAAAGCCCATTGAAGTCAGTGGGTGGTTTTCCACTGCCTTCAATAGGCTTTAGATCTGGCTATGTGAGAAGACATGAACTGATTTTTTTCCTGGTAAACAGGAGGAGGAGTGAAAGGGGAAGGGACTGAGACCAGAAGCAAGTCCGGCTGAGGTCACACCTCCTTTGAGTTGCAAATCAATATCTGAGGATCAAAGGTCTAGCTAATCCCCTTTTTCAGAGGTGAAAACTACTTAATCAGATTTCATTTGCAAGCCTGGTTTGCTCTGATTAGCAAAACCAGTAAGGACAATGGCCGGAAGATGCTGGAGCTATCGGGGATAGCAGGGCTGCAGTTGCGAGCTTTACATATTCATTAAACTCTCTAGGAATGCTGGAGGCAGAGAAGGGAAATGGAGACCAATTTGCACTGCACCTTCTGTGGGGTGTCCCTATGTTGTGGGATTCCATTTCCCAACGAGGGCTCAGTGAGGGCTAGGGAAGGATGAAACGTGCAAGCCTTCTGCAGCCAAAGCAAGTGTTTATAAATGGTCATCTTCTTCTCAAGAAGTTCTATGAGATTCCTTTCCTGGTCTCACCAAGCAAATACTCGGTCCCATCTAGTGATCATTCAGCTCAGGGCATCAGTCCTAAGCAGATAATACAATGTTGGCAAGACTGAAATTTGCTCTTTTTGGCAATCTGATGATTACCTCTTGTGCCTGGAGCAACGTAGAGGGGACCTCACAGGCACCATGTTTCCCTTGGGTGGTAAGCTGGGGACAGCTTGTCTCGTCATAATGGCTGCAGTTTTACTTCAGCATCCCACACTGTGAGACTTGAGGCCTAATTTGGTGATGTTCTTATTTACATATTTACATATGTAAATAGCTCTTTTGAAATCTGAGCATATTTATGGTGCAGGCTAATTGTGACTATTGGTGGTCTTGAAGTTAGGTTTGTGTTTCAAGTCACTTGCTGCATTAGAGCCTCAAGCACTGAAAGAGATTAGTCATAATATTTTGAAAGTGAGATAAACACTTATGCAAATGTTTTGGGTTCTCCAAAAGTCAGGCAGAGCGCGAGGTTCCAGCAAGGGGTCGGGTTGGAGCTGTGTGGTTGCATCTGTATCACCCTGCTCAAGAGCAGGTCTGGGTCTGTACTTTGACCACATCCCAGCGTTACATTAGGACATGACCCAGATCCTCCCCTTTGTATACTGGTTCTTAAGGAAACTTATTTGTGTGGGCTGGGCAGGAGCTGCATCATGCTCCAAAGGATCGATGGACAGGAGTAAGAGTGGGGTGTCCCAGGCTTTGGACCACACAGCATTGTCCTGCTAGGTGAGTGCGGGAGCCTGCTCTGTACCTGTGTACATGTTCATCTCCAGCACCAGCAACAGGGCTGGTTCAGAATGTGATAAAAACCTGTCTGACAGCAATACAGTTAGAACATGAAGCAATGAAAACATACACACAGCTATTTCTGTGCCATTACAGAGGAAGTGATGTTCAGATTTGCTTGTGTTGGAAAGGGGAATTCCAGAGGTAAAATGTTGTTTGTTTGTCATGGCCTTTGGAAGGTTGTGGTTTTGCACAGGTCCTGGATTACAAAAGGGAATGAAATCAACCTGCTTTGTGATATACAAAATATGAGGACACAGGTGAAGCAGGGTACCTGAATCACTGGAAAGCTGCGTGGATACACACCTTACAGAGGTTTTGTTGGGTGGTTTTACAGCTGTGGTGGAGAGACTGCTGTGGCAGTGATGGTGTGTGTGCATAAGGGTAGACCAGATGCTGCTGTTTTGGGGTAACCACTGCCTTCATCAAGTCCCTAAGAAAGGTTCAGAGGAGGTAATAACTGTGAAACGGGTCCTGTTGGTATCTGTGGGTGCTGGACCACCATGAATTAGGATATCAAGAGCTAAAGATAAATGACTGGCTCATCTTTCAGACAAATGAACAGCGCTGACTTGTATTCTGTTTTAACATGCCAAGCATTCAAATCTCACCAGAAAACATAAAGGTGTTGAGGAAGAGAATGGCTGTGCATAGTGCATGATAAACACTAACCAGAAAGTGCAAACCTTCAGCATTCTCCACAATAGAATAGTATAAGACTGGATCTTCTGCCTTCAGCCAAACAAAAGTCTTCTTTGAATCTGGTGAGGGGTTTTCTTGGGATGCTTGAGTCCCTGTTTGAGAAGCACAGAAAAATAAGGGTAATTCATTTCCATATTTACAAGGCCAACACATGTTATAATCCTGTAGGACAAGAAGTAATTATTCCAGACAGTGTTATTTTTGCAGTGATGTTCTTATTGTATTATGTAGCTCTTTAGAGCCCGGGGAATCACTCCCCTTCACCGAAGAATGCCGTTAGCCTCAAACACATGTTCAGAGGCTTTGCTGAACTGGGGGCCTCAGGGTTTGATCTTGCAAACGTTTCCTTCCAGGCATGTTTCTGAACTACCACAAGGCATTCTTTAGACTTTGGCAACTCGAACCACAGCGGTGAATGCGGTGCTTGTCACAGATTGTCTGCAGGATTGGGTCCCACGTGGCTGAGAATAATCACTAAACATTTTGTTTGCAAAAGCAGGGTTGAAGGGGCATCACCACGGAAAGATTCATAGCAGGAGGTTTGATAGCCAAGCCCAAGTGAGCTTCTTCCTTCCAAAGCAGAGACCAAGCAAGTCACCTCATTTGGTAGAAGAGAGATACAACAGAGCCCTCAAACACCATCAAGCTTTAGCTTTAGAGCCATGACTCACAGAATAATTAAGGTTTGAAGGAGTCCCTGGAGTTCTCTGGTCCAAGGAGGATCAATCTTAAAGTTAGATCCGGCTTCAATTTGGAGCATGTTGCTCAGGGTCATGTTCCGCTGTGCTCAAGGTATCTCCAAGGATGGAGGCAGCCTGTTTGCAGGTGTCCCTTTGCCTCTCCTGCTCCCTTTGCCTTTTAGGCTCATGAGGCTTATGGGGTTTTTTAATTGCCCAACTTCCCTTTGTCTGAATGGCACGAGGCTCTCAAGACACTTTGCGCTAGTGCCTGTAATAAAATTAGAGGGTTTTTTTTTCCTCTCAGTGTTGTTTTCCTTCCTCCTTTCCTCTCTAATCAGATAACAGTGGATCAATCTGCTCTGCCACGGGAGGAGGGGCGCGGGGGAAGGAGGGAGGGAGGCAGGGAAGAAAACTGTGTGGTCTTACTGTCAGGCTGTCCTGGCCTTCTCTGAGCACAAAGGCAAGTAACAGAAAACAGATAAGATGAATAGCGTTTTCTCCCTGCAACATGCTGAAGAGTGACAGCGAGATTGATTCATTAATTAATGGCAGCATCTGGCAGTACTCCTCCTTTAAGTTCTGTGGCACATTCACCCTTCCCCATCCTGAAATCCATCATCTCTACTTATTCCCCTCCTCTCCTTCGCCTAGCTCGTTTTGCACATTTTATCTCCTTCCCCGCACAGAATCGGGTCCCAGTGGAGAAGTTTCACTTGGCCTTTGGATACGTAGGAGCCAAGCGAGCTGTGGTTGTGTCCGCTGTGACCGATGCACCCCTCTCCTACCTCTTGGCTGCTTTTCTTTCACCTTGCTCTTGATTCCTCCCGGGATAACTGATTTCTGTGATTACTGCGGATCCCAGCCAAGTTCAAGCCCTGTGTAAAACAGGCCCCATTTGTAAGAGTTACGATTTGCAGTTGTGGGAACCCAGAGCTTTTTTGCACTTGATCCATTGAGAAATGGGTGTCTAACAAGCAGCTGAGCACCTTGTCCTTGGCGTGCACTCTCCCACACACCAAGGTTGTACACATGCATCTAGATATATGTGCGGACATTGAAAAAGAGCGCTGCTTTCATTTGCATTCCTTTTGTTGAGTGTGATGTGCATTATGCATTGATTTAGCTCACCAGGGCTGAAGAAAGAGAAGGATATGATAAAAAAGATGCAGAGATCAATAAAAAAGAAGGGAGGGGGAGAGAAAGTAATATGAAAAGAGATGAGTAAGGGCTGATAGACACATTGAACCACAGCTGGGAAGTTGCTGCAGAACTTCTATCTACCCTTAAGTTTGCCAGGTAATTTATGGGGTTTTCAATTGCATCTTATTGGTGTTGTTATTGCTACGCTTTATCTCCTTTGCTTATAAGGGACTCTTCCTAAAGCCTTTTTACAGCAAAACAGGGCAGCGCTTCCGCTTACTTCCACATGTGAGTGGTCCCGCTGCAGAATGTGAGTGTTTCAGGTTAGACACACATCTCCCTGCTTTGTTGGATCAGGGCCTCAGGGATGTAAAACACAAAGAAAAGGCACAGGGTAGAGGAAAAGAGAAAATAAATACACCTAGCTCTTGAGTTTACCCCCAGTTCCTGGCATCTTGAAGCATTAGACTCCGGGTCAGGGAAAAGTATGATTTTAATTTGACAATGTTCTTTAAACACCTTTTCTCTCGCTCCTGCTTGGCCTCAAGTGGTTTTTTGCTACCTTACAAATCTGGATCTGTCCTTCTCCTCCTCAGAGGCCTCTCCTTCCAGCTGTGAGCCTTACCTTTGTGGGAGCTCTATCCTTTACCTCTCCCATTATCCATAAATTAAGCATAGCACTTTCCCCTAATCTTATTGTTTGGCGGGCTGCATTGCATTCAGGGAAGCGATTAATATTCATGAGCTTGCTATCTCTGTTTGGTGCATAATCCTCTAGGGAAATTGCAGTGTTAAATGAGTGACACAAACCTAATTTTATATGTCTTTTCTTTCCTTTCTTTCTTTTTCCTTTTTTTCC